ACCAGAGCCAGAAGCCATCCAGTGGGAAAATAAGAACTCTGATGCTGCCACTGATGCTGAGAAGGACAAAAATCTGAACAGTACTGTCACTATTATGGTATTTTTTCATTTCCTGAGAATCCGTGAGCTCATTCACTGATGAGATATACATTTCTTTTTCTTAGCATCGATACCTTCGATGGAGGGTTTACCCAGCAGTGTTATGCTGACCATCACCAAACTTCAGTGTCTGCTGGAGAGCAAACAGGAGAGGATTGAAGCTCTGGAGAGACAGGTGCAGGACCTGCAGGAGGATCGCAGGTTCCTCCGCTCACAAATCGAGAACCTCACTGGCGCTCGCTTGGTTTCAGTGCCTGAAGGTGTGGTGGAAAAACATCTAAACACCTGTATTGTTGAATGCGATCTGTATTATAATGAATTTTAGAATTACCTTTTGCAGTAAATTTTTTGTTTTTTTAGGATTTTGTGTGTTGGCACAGAATGTTTTTACATTTCAAGACATGCAGTTTTCTTTGAATCTTTCAAATGTTAATATAATATTTTCATTATGAAAACAAAACCAAATTAAATTGCAGTGTTTGTGTTTAATTTAGGGTTTAAAGTAACCCTTACAGTTATAAGAAGTGTGCAAAAATGTGAAAGTTTTGTTAATAGAACTATGCACAATTTATAGCTTTTGCAAAAAAAACAAAAAACTAAAGGTTTCATGACAGTATATAGATAAGGTTATGAGAATGTTTTTATTTTTTTAAAGAATAGTTGGGATTTTAATAGATTTTTAATAGATTTTTTTCATGTTTTAATGTATTATGAGCTGAAATGATGAACTAATTAATTTTGTAGTTGATGCTCTATTTCCTGTTACAATGGTACTTGCTCACGTGCTCTTGTTTCCTATTATTCTCTGTTGCTGCAGCGAGCACATCAGTGTTCTCTCAGTCCAGGTCAAGGAAAAGGCGGCGTAAGAGCTCGTCCAGCTCATATATCGAAGATGAGAGCATCACTGATGAATCTTCATCTGAAGAGTCCAGCAGCATCAGAAAAAAAAGACGCCATAAGAAGAAAGGAAAGAGAGGTACATGACAAGTAACACTTTAACATTAGCAGTTTTGTATCTGGATTGTTCATAAATGTGCCTTACCTGTACAAGATTCCTTGTAAAAATTAATACACTTTAGCATACATTTAAAAAGAATACCTGTAAAACATAATATCCTTTAAAAGAGTATAATGAAGTGTAAACTGAATGTTATGTTTTTGGACACTTGCAATGTTAACTGAAATTAAATGAAAATGTGTTATATGTTAAGTTTATATGAAATGCAATTATTTTAACTTTATAGTTTTTTTATTGACCCACTTAAAGGGATAGTTCACCCAAAAATGAAATCATTAATTACTTACCCTCATGTTGTTCCAAACCCGTAAGTTTATCCTCGGAACACAAATTAAGATATTTTTGATGAAATCTGAGACAGTTCTGTCCCTTCATAGACAGCAAGAGAACTACCACGGTCAAGGCACAGAAAGTTCTCTTGCTGTCTATGGAGGGTCAGAAAGCTCTTGGATTTCATCAAAGATAACTGAATTTGTGTTCCGAAGATGAACGAAGGTCTTACAGGTTTGGAACGACATGAGGGTGAGTAATTAATGACAGAATTTTCATTTGTGGGTGAACTAACCCTTTAAGTACATCTTTATATGTAATTTCATAGTTACTGTTGTCTTGAAATATGCATTTATGGTAAACTAAAACATACTATAATGTAATTTCTATTGAAAAATGTATGTCATGTATTTTAACATATTTGTAATAACACATTTATAATGATGGAGTTGCAATCTAGGGCATCTAAAATATATTAACTTTAAATTAATCATTGAATAACACACTACCGTTCAAATTATAAGTGATTTAAATATACTTTAGAATTTTATTTTAAAGTAAAACTTTTAATTTGACATCACAAGGTGCACGTTTAAAATGTCATTAATATTATGTGCAAGTACAGTTTAAAGGGGTCATATGATGCTTTTTTAAAGATCATTATTTTGTGTATTTGGTGTAACAGAATATGTTGACATGCTTTAATGTTCAAAAAACACATTATTTTTCAAATACTCTACATTATTGTAGGTCCTCTATGCCCCGCCTCTCTCAAACGCTTAGTTTTCTACAAAGTCCCTCCTTCCGACAAGCGCAGTCTGCTCTGATTGGCCAGCTGACCCAGTGCATTGTGATTGGCCGAACACCGCAAGCACTCGTCGGAAATGTAACGCCCCTTACCATAATCGTGAGCGTCAGCTTTCAAAATAAATATCAAGACAGTTAATAATGTCGTGAGCCCGAAAGGGGAACAGAGTCGCGTGACAGACACAGTGATGAAGCTGGTATGTGTTTGTGATGTGGACCGTGGACGAGTCTTAACTTTTATAAAGAATATCTCTTTGGGTTTGAGACTTTAGTCTTTGCAACTTTACACATCTTATCTATACACGAACAGCTTGTAACACTCCAAAGAGAAAGGAAAACTTGAAATCGCATCATATGACCCCTTCAAGAATACTAATTATACTTTTGCAATTTGAAGTGCACTAAAAATGCACATTCATTACAATTATGTAATTTGCAGAAGATAGTGTTTTAACAGTAAACGTGTAATAGTTAACAATATATATGTGTGTGTGTAT